AGGAGCAGGAGCAGGAGCAGGAGCACAGGAGCAGGGCAGGAGCAGCGGAAGGAGGAGGAGGAGGAGGAGGAGGAGGAGGAGGAGAGAGGAGGAGGAGGAGGAGAGGAGGAGGAGAGGAGGAGGAGGAGAGGGAGGAGGAGGAGGCGGAGGAGGAGGATGGGAGGAGGAGGAGGAGGAGGAGGAGGAGGAGGAGGAGGAGGAGGAGGAGGAGGAGGAGGAGGAGGAGGAGGGGAGGAGGGGGGGAGGAGGAGGAGGAGGAGGAGGCGGAGGGGAGGAGGAGGAGGAGGAGGAGGAGGAGGAGGAGGAGAGGGGTGGAGGAGGAGGGAGGAGGAGGAGGAGGAGGAGGAGGGAGCAGGAGGAGGGGGAGGGGGAGGAGGGGAGGGGAGGAGGAGGAGGAGGAGGAGGAGGAGGAGGAGGAGGAGGAGGAGAGGAGGAGGGGAGGAGGAGGCGGAGGAGGAGGAGGAGGAGGAGGGGAGGAGGAGGAGGAGGAGGAGGAGAGGGAGGAGGGAGGAGGGAGGAGCGAGGAGGAGGACGAGGAGGGCTGTCCCCTCTTGGGGTGCACACGACCGTCGCTTGCCCTCCAGGCGCGCGCGCGCGCGCGCGGGGCGCCGCGCCACGGCGCGCGCCGCGGGCCGCTGGCCCCGCCTGGAGCGGCCATGGCCACGTGCACGGGGCGGGTCGCCTGGCACCGCCGCGGCCCCCCACTGGCGAGTCGGCGCGATCGAAACGGGTACGTCTAGGCCTCTTAGATCGGGTTCGAGTAGATGGCGTCGGAGGATCGCGCCGTATCCTCGATGCATTTGAGCCTGATTTTCTCCACGCTGGCGTCGCCGATGATGCATCACTGATGTCGCCGATGTATCGGCGATGCGGCGCGATCCACCGAACCCATGTAATCCGACCCCATCTAGAAGGCCTCTCGTACACAATCCAGAAAGAATGGCTCGAGGTTTTCGGGTTCGAGGTTTTCGGGCGTTTTCGTCGGTTCTTGGCGTCTCCCCAGCCTCGGGATGCTCTCCAGCAGCTGCGCCCCGCCGAGAGCGTTCCGAGGGTGCCAGGATCGTCCCGAGCGGCCGCCGGAGTCCTGAGGTATGACCCGGAAGCCAAACGACAAAACATCAACGGGTACGAAGACTGACAGCAGTTCCACCCCATTTTGAACAGGACTCGCTGTCGGCGTCGCCGCGGACGTTGTCCATTCGAGACAGACGGCCATCTGCCTAACATCGGCCGCTCCTAGCTGGTTTTGGACAGCATTTGATATTGGGTATTGTGCGCATTTTTTCCGTGCCCATTTCGGACGTCCAAAAGGCGAGGCCCCGACCGAGATGCCGAAATTTGCCCAAAGCCTTTAATTCGTCGTGTGTTTTGCGCGACGTCGCCTGGCCCCGGGGGCCCTTTGCCAGGCCCCGGCGCCGTCAAAACACGATTGGGATGAACAGTCGATGCTGGGGAAGGGGTCCAGATCTCTGGGGGTCCACATCAAGAAATGTGCCGAAGTCACGACGTCGGAGCCCAGGGGCGACCCTGCTGGGCGTCGCCCTCCTCCCCCGAAAAAGGCGGCGGCGATTCTGTTTTGCCGTTCTCTCGGCCCTTGGGGGCCCGCTTTTCCCAGCCCTGGGGCCGTCGGGAAGTGGCTTGGGACGAAGAGCCGGTCCTGGGGGAGGGGTCGAGATCCCCGTGCTCCCGCGTCATCAAAGTGCTGCGTCGTCGGAGGAGCTGCGCGACGGCGGCAGCGCCGTTTCGGGGTGCTTGATCGTTTCTGGAGGTTCTCGTCGCCACGGCTGGGCGCAGCTCGAGAAGCTGACCAGGATGGGCCTCGGGAGGGTGGGGATTGGTTTTGAGCTGACATCTGTCGGGCGGCGGCGGCGACGGTGGCGGCGGCATTGGCGACGACCGTGGCTTTCGCCGCCACGGCTCGATCCGCCCCCGAACTCCTGGTCTCAGAGCGGGCTCCATGGGAGGCAAGAAGGGCCGACTTTGGAGTGGTGGCAACGGCGACGATGCCTTGGAGGCCGACCTGGCGTCTGTCCTCCCAGCACGCGGCACGGGCGTCCCGCCCTTTCTTTTGGAGGATCGCGGTCGAGCATGGGGAATTTTCTGGTTGGCAGCTTCTCGCGTTGTCGTGGGTCTCCAGGCTTCTCCTCCCGACCTTCCTTCCTTCCTCACTCCCTCCCTCCCTCCCTCCCTCCAACCTCCCTCTCCCTCCCTTTCTCCCTCTCTCCCTCTCTCCCTCCTTCGCTCCCTCCCTCCCACCTTCCCTCCCTACCTCCAACCTCCTTGCTCCCTCTCCCTCCCTCCCTCTCTCCCCCCCATCCCTTCCTGCTCCAACCTCCTCCTTTCTGGTGCAGGCTGGGGTCCGCTCGAACCTCCTCTCATCTCTCATGTGTAGGGCCCATGGGCTTTCTCTTGCCAGAGCCGGTGCCTCGCCACGACCAGGGTTTCTGCTCGAGCTGCCCCCACCACGGGAGTGGGGGGCACATGTCCCTCTGAGGGGGGAGGAGGAGGAGGAGGAGGAGGAGGAGGAGGAGGAGGAGGAGGAGGTGCCCAATCCTCTTCTTTTTCGTTATCGTATGTGTTTTCCTCTTCTTTCTTCTGCTTCTTGTTCTTTTCTTCTCCTCTCCTCCTCCTCCTCCTCCTCCTCCTCCTCCTCCTCCGCCTCATTCTTCTCCTCCTCCTCCTCCTCCTCCCGCCCAGCTGGTGCTGTCTGTCTGCCCGCCCTACCTCCGCCTCTGTGCCCCCGCAGAGCTGCTAGCTTAATTACTGAGCTTCTGCGAGGGGCGTGCCGGCCTCTGCCGACAGGCCCACAGCGTCACCGGCGTCGAGATCCAAAAACAGATCCTCCTCCGTTTCTTCTCTCTCTTCTCCTCATCCTCCTGCTCCTCCTCCTCCTCCTCCTCCTCCTCCTCCTCCTCCAACTCCTCCCTCCTACTCCTCCAACTCTCCACTCCTCCTCCTACTCCTCAACTCCTCCTCCTCCTCCTCCTCCTCCTCCTCCTCCTCCTCCTCATCTTCCTCGGGGGCCCCTCAGCCGTTCCGTTTTGCAGAGAACCAGGTCCTGGAAGGGGTCCCTGGAGATCCCCGCAGATTTACTGCTCAGGAACGGCAGGTTTCAAAACCTCGGGCTAAACCAAAGCTCGGTCCCAGGTAATTTTGTTTGCTCAGTTTTATGGCCTCCGAGTTGGCCATTAGTATGTGAGTTTGAGCCGTGCCGCCACCCCCCTTGAGCGTGTATACCCGCGCCTTAGGGCGGGTTGGGGCCCGAGCATTTGGCCGCGCCTGAAGGGGCTGGATGCCGAGTGAAGCTGCCTGCAAGGGCCACTCAGGGGCCAACTTTTTGCTCGTGATAAGCTGACTCACGGATCGATTCCCCAGAGTCTTTCGTTTCGTTTCGTTTCTCCTTCTCCTCGACATCTCCCAAACACCCAACTCCAAATCCTCCTCCTGCCCTCATCCTCGAAATCCGAATAGGAAATCCAAATCCAGAGTCCAAATCATCCTCCCCCTCCTCCTGCTCCTCCTCCTCCTCCTCCTCCTCCTCCTCCTCCTCCTCCTCCTCCTCCAAATCCCCCAAAGTCACTTCCCCGATTTCGCTGGGACAGCCAAAAGCCTCAGGGCGAGCGCCTCCATTGGCCCCGAAGCTCTTCCAGGGGTTCCCCAGGTGGCTCTCAGAGAGGACCACTCGCGACGAGGCCCAGAGGCCCCTCGGGCCCCGGGGGGCGCCCACGTGGCGCGAGAGGCCAGGGGTGGCAAGACCTCTGGCAGCCGCCGGTCAGCGGCGCCACCTCGAGCTTCCATGCGACGGGCGCCCGTGGAAGCAGAGGGGCCTGCGGCTGCAAGCTGTTCGTGACGGGCATCCCGTACTCCTGGGACAAGGAGCAGCTGAAGGAGACCACCGCCTCACTTCTCCTCGTCCCCTCCCTTTCCTCTTCCGGCTGCTCTCCTCTTCTCTTTCCTCTTCTCTTGCCTCTTCCTGCTCCGGTTCCTCTTGCTCCTCCCCTTCAATTTGGTGTTGCCCCCTGTTTTTCCCTGTCTCTTCTCTTCCCCTTCGTCCCCATTATCAAACTCCGCTGGCTTTCGCCCTCCAGCGCCCATTTACATTTTCATCCAGCCGTTGCGAATTGAGCCGCGAGTGCTTGTTTGAATTGTATGTGTAGGTGGGAAGCTACAGCCCGAATATCTGACACGAGCTGCTCGTGAGAGTGCCTCTGGCCAGTTCGGCCTCTTGGCGGAGGCCTGCCACAGAAGTGTTCCGCGAGAGCTGGGGGAGGTAAGGCGAGGATTCGCCTGTGGAAGTTGGCGCCAGGACCTCCATCTTGAACAAACCACAAGACTGCTGTTTTCATCATTTTCGGAGGCCTGGACGTTGGCACCAACACCAATGTCGGCGGTTGCATCCACCCAGGGAGCATGATCCCGATCTCGGTGATGGTGGCAATGTTCGGGCTTCCTAGGTGGCCGAAATATTTCCACCAACGCCAACATCTAGGATCATGCTCCCCTTATGGAGGCACCCCCCTGTGTTGGTGCTGGTGCCCATTTCCAGGCCTTCAGGATTTCCTTCCAGCGTCTGGAAGCTGTTTCTGGGGTCCCAGGGCCGTCAACGAGCGACTCGGCGAAAGAAGTTGGCCACGGGAAGGGGGACCTCCGTCTTTTACAGTCAACCCGCATAGTAAGGACGGGCATCCTTCCCAAGGGTACCCTTGCATCCTTGCCTCCGCGGTCCATCCTTTGCTGCTTTCGTTGGCCGCGCCCCGCTCGAAAAGTGCCGACATGGCCCTCCAAGGCCCTTGCATCCTTTTCGCGCCTCCTCATGCTACGAGCTGACTGTATTGAACAAGCTACGATGTCGTTGGCCCGTGTGGCAGACGCTCGCAAGAAGCGCTGGCAGAAGCAAGGCAGCCGCACTCCCAGAAGCAGCTCAGCCAGGCCCCCAGGAGATGGTAAAGCACTTGTGTCCTCGCAGTTTCTCGGAGTGGTCATGCGTCATACCCCACGGCAGCAGCAGGGTGTGGAACGTCGAAAAGGAAAAAGACGGCATACACATAACTTTTGGCGCTGCACGCGGATTTCTTGGTTACGCGCTGGGCCCCCCCAGCGGCGCCTCCGGCGCCGCCCCTGGCGCGCTCCGCGCGCTGGGGAGGGGGGTCCAGAGCAGATCCAAGAAATCCGCGCGGAGCGCCAACAGTTTGTGTTTATTATGTTTTTTCTTCTTCCAAGCAGGGTGTGTAATAAACAGGACTTCTGCGTTAGTGCGAGGAGAGGCATGGATCCCATTCTCCGCGAGGGGCCAGGCCGCACGAAGGGATCGGCACACGATGGAGTGAATCCTCCTCGCCCCTCTCGGAGGCCTCTTGGGTTGGAGGCCTCTTGGGGGCCCCTGGGGAGCTCGAAATGTCAGTTCGTGCTCCCCGTCTTGAGCCCGTCTCTGGCCGCCTTTGTGGCCCCATGTGGCCGCTTTGGCCGTCTTGGGGCCCTCTTTGGGGCCTATTGGGCCGTCTTGGGGCGATCATGGGGGCCTCTGGGGCCGTCTTGGTGCGTGAGGAGCCCGACGAGGCGAGAACGCAAAATTCGCTTCCCTGGGTACTAATGCCTCTGTCCTCCTGGGGCCCTCCTGGATGTGGCGTCTTGGGGGCCTCCGGGCCCGTCTTGAGTCCATCCTGGGCTGTCTTTGGGCCCTCCCTCATGACTTGGCATCGCATTTTTTCCTCGGCGAGGACCCTCGAGGAGCACCCTGGACCATCTGGCAGCAAAAAGCACGCACGATGCCGAAACACGCACGGGGGAATGGACGTCCGAGCGATGGCACGATGAGCCGTCTCGGGGTCTCTCCAGGGCCGCCTCGTGCGCTTCTCTGGGGACCATCGGCTGCTCGTGGGGTTGCCGTGGCTGGGTCACCGCCCCAGAGGCCCACCGGCCACGCCCCCGGTAGCGCCTGGGGAATCTTGGGGAATCGTGGTCCAAGCCTTTGGCGAGCCCAGCGTCGTTCGAACTCCGACGACCGCATGAGTCTTGCGGCACTCCAACCACACTGCGTGCTGCAGGCGCGGTGGCGGATGCACTTGCTCAGAGCACGCATGGGCTCCTCCGAAGATCGGAATCGGTGGCTCGTGGCCCGTGGTCTCCCGCATGGTCTATCGCATGGTCTCTCGCTTGGTCTCCCGTACGGTCTCCCGTCTGGTCTGCCGAGTGGCCCCCCGTGTGGTCTTCTGTACGGATTGCCGCGTGGTCCCCCGTGTGTTCTCTGGTGGGGTCTCCCGTGCGAGCTACCGTGTGGGCTCTCATATGGGCTCGCGTATCGTTGGCCGTAGGGTCGCCCGTGTGCTTTCCCGTATGGGTCTGCCGTAGGGTCTCCCGCGTGGGTTCACGTAGGGTCTCCCGCGTGGTCGCCCGTATGCTCTCTCGTAGGACCTCTCCCGTGTGGACTCCCGTGTGGACTCCCGTATGCTTTCCCGTTGCGGGCCCCGGCTGGCTCTCCCGTGTGGTCTTCCGTATGTTTTTGTCGTTTTGCTCAGAATGTGCGTGTTCGACATTTGGCCATCCTGTACACAGTGGGCGGGGCAGAGGGCTCCTCCTCCTCCTGAACCCACCCTTGTCCTCTTTGTCCTCCTCCTTCCCATCCCCTCCCGCCTTCTCCCCTCATCCTTCTCATTTGCTACGCCCACCTGGGCTCCTGAGGCACTGTGCTCTCTGAGGGCGGCAATGAGATGATGAGGAGATCTCCGCAGAGCTCCCTAGGCCATCGGAGGCCTCCAGCGACCCCTGGAGTCCACGGGAGAGGAGGAGGGGGAGGAGGACAAGCTAGGTGCACAAGCCTCATATCTGACGTCCTACGCCTCCCTCATATCCCTTACCATGGCTTAGATCTCCGATCTATTCGCACAGTCGGATGCCGGGCAGGGCAATGATCCCACGAGGGTACGCGATGGATGAACAGGCATGGCGTAGAAGAGCACGGCAGAGCATCGCATGTCATAGCATGGCATGGCGTAGTGAAGCATTACATAAGAAAGCATAGCAGCGCAAAGCACGACATCGCACAGCAATGCAAGACACAGCATCGCACTGCATGCCGTGGCATGGCACCAGATGATTCGGAGAGTAAGTGGCCCGTCGACGACAGGAATGCTCTCCGGACACAGGCATGGGGAGAGGGGAGAGTCGTATCCGTATCGTTTAACTGTGGAGGAGGAGGCGTCCGCTCCCTCATCCTTATCCTCCTCCTTCCTCTCCCCCAGCGTCAGTCCTGGCGGCCTTCCGTTGTTTTGTTGGTATTGTTGTTGTTGTTGTTGCGGTGGTTGTGGTTGTTGTGGTTGGTGTTGTTGTAGTTGTTGTTGTGTTTGTTGTCGTCGTCGTCGTCGTCGTCGTCGTCGTCGTTGTTGTTGTTGTTGTTGTTGTTGTTGTTGTTGTGGTTGTGGTTGTTGTTGTTGTTGTTGTTGTTGTTGTGGTTGTTGTTGTTGTTGTTGTTGTTGTTGTGGTTGTTGTTGTTGTTGGTGTTTTGTTCCTTCTTCTCAGGGCGCAGATAATACGTATGTCCACGATCTGAGCTCGTCGCGTCTGCGAAGCGCACATGGCTTAGTTGTTTTTCAATCCCTCTCTCTCTCATCTCTCTGTCTCTGTCGCTCTCTCTCTCTCTCTCTCCCTCTACCTCTCTTTCTCCCGCCCTGTCTCCACCACTCTCCCTCTCTAGATGCCCATTCTTCTTTTCGCATTTGTGCGAAACAAGCGGAAGGACACCTTCCTCGATTTTAGTATCGAGCCTTTGTATGTGGACTGGTTCCAGAAGGCAACAGGGGAGTTCCTTGGGCACGCTGTGGTCGAGGCAGCGTTGCCTTTTCGAGTGGAAGGCATGAATGGATGGATTGACGGATGGATGCGTGGACGGAGATTGACCCGTGTACGCACGGATGGACAGGTGGATGGAAGGATGGAGGAGGACAAGTGGACACAACAGGATCAGCATTGGGAGGACAAACATGGGAGGCGAATATGTCAGGAAAACAGTGCTGCCCCTCGACAGAAGACACTATTGGTCCACATTTCGCCAGGGCCCCTTTTTCGGTCGGGGCGGGGCCACCTTGACGTCTGCTGCAGTTGTTTCTGAAGGGGTCGTTTGTTTTGCGTTTCTTTCTCATTTGGCTCTCGGTCCAGGTGGTGGCACTCGCGACGGAAGTGCGGATCGACGTGGACCGATCCCATCACCTCAATCAACGTATGGGGCCCTCTGCAGTCGTCCGCAGGCCTCCTCCATCTACAGCCGATGCACTAGACGACGGGCTATCCACTTGAGCCGCCGCGCGACTCCGGCACTACGCTCGGGCGGGCGCCTCGAAGCGGTGGGGGCTGGGGTCGGGGGGGAGGTGGGGGTCGCTGGGAGAGGGGGTAGACGCCACGGAAGGTCTCCCTCCAGGTTCACCATTATTTTGGGCACAATCTTTCGCTCCGAAGACCATCCCTGCTGGATCGAGAAACGATGTCTAGACGAGTTGCTGGGAAACGGGAAGTGGAGAAACATACAATGAAACAAAAAGTCCACCCTCGCCGGGAGCTTCTCGGAATGCGGCCATCTCGGGGCCATTTGGGGAGCCTTTGAGGCCCTCTTGGAACTCCCTCTTGGCCTTGACGGGGACATTGTGAGCCCTCTCAGGGTCATTTTGGACGACATGGATCAGAAAAGGATCGGCGATCATGTGCCACCTCCCGTCGGAGACCGCCCAATCGCCTCTAGGGGCCACCTTGGAGCGCTGTTGGGGGTTCTTGGGCGCTCTTGCGTCGGCCCGTCCTGTGGTCCGAATAAGAGAACGCATTCCAGTTGCTCGTCTCACTCGGTCTGCCCAGGCGCTTTTCTGTGCGCCGTCAGGGTCCTGGCCTGCCGCGGCCGGTCAGCAGGCCGCTTCTTCTTCTTATTCTTATCCTTCTTGCGGCCGCCCCCTCTTGGGGCGATCTTTGCTGATCTTGAGGCCCTCTGGAGGGAGCGAAGGCCCATCGGACGCTGACAGTGCAAGAGGCAAGCATGCTTGAACACAATGTTTGTGGAATGGTTTGGCATCTCGGGGGCGATATAGGGTGGCTCCGAGGCCACTTGGAGCCGTCGAGTTGCGGTACTGGGACCTACTGGAGGCATGTCGGAGGCCATTTTGAGCCACTGTGGGACATCTTGTGCCTCCTCGGACGCCATCTCGGGCCCCTCTTGAAGCCATCTGGCACAACCCTGGTCCCGACCCCAGGGAAGGGAGAAGGAGTTGGAATACTTGTCGATGCGAGCTGCCTGTGCCAAGAGGGCCAGGGCTCCAGCTGCTTAGCATGAGTCCAGACCGAGACTCTGCCTTCACATCAATCATAGCACGCTTGCTGCGTGCTGCTGCAGTGGCTGCTCGTCCTTGCGCCGCTCCTTCTCCCGTCCGCGAGGTTGCCACCCAGGAGGACGGAGAGGCTGCCGTCAACATGATCAATGATTTTGAGGTGGAGGGTGCTGATGGACCTCGGAAGCTCGTGGTTCCCTGGGGTTGAGAGGCATGAAGTGGAGAGGGAGAAGGGGAGAGAGAGAGGTGGGCGAGGGTAGTTCAATCTATTTCTTTCGTTATCTCCCTCTTTCTCTCTCTCGGGATGGAGGGGAAGCAACACGAGGCCGCCTCAGCTTGCGGAAGCCGGCGGAAGGCCCGCGGAAGCCGACAGAAGTAATCATCGGCTTCCCAGGAGGTAGCTAGTTTTTGTTGGTACCCAGCTGCCTGCGGCAAGCCCCGCCGCCGTGCATGTGCAACAGCGCAGCAAGAAGGATGCCGAGTAAAGGAACAGCGCGATTCCGACGAGTAGTCTGCATTGGGGCGGGTCGTGACCCCGACCTCGTCTTCGTCCGCGCGGTAGGACGACGAGGACGAGGACGAGGACGAGGAGGAGGAGGAGGAGGAGCAGGAAGAGGAGGAGGAGGAGCAGGAGGAAGAGGAGGAGGAGGGGAAGGAGGAGGAGGAGGAGGAGGAGCAGGAGGAGGAAGAGGAGGAGGAGGAGGAGGAGGAGGAGGAGGAGGAGGAGGAGGAGGAGGAGGAGGAGGAGGAGGAGGAGGAGGAGAGGGAGAATTTGATAGTGAGGAGGAGAAGGCTTCTTGGGGCCTTCTTGGGGCTTCCTGGGGGCCTCCTGGGAGCTTCCTTAACGCTTCTTTGGGGCCATTTGGGCCTCATGGCTCATGGGGCCTCTAGGGTGTCTTGAAAGCCGTTCTGGAGGCCATCTGGAGGCCATGATGCCCCCAAGAAGGCCCCAAGGCATGTCAAGAGGCCCCCAACACGGCCCAAGAGGTCCCTCAGAGGCCCTCCAGTAGAGCACGAGAAGGCCAACACCATTGAGTATCCTTCGGTTTTTGCTTCGAGGTTCTGGCATGTTCGGGTTTCCGACCGCCCAAGAGCCCAAGAGGCCTCTCTAGGCCGTCTTGTTGCTCTCTTGGAGCGCTGCAGGGCCGGCGTCGGGCCCTCCATGGGAACCTCTTGGACGATCTTTGGGTCCTCTTGGGCCGACTTGGGGCCCTCTTGGGGTTCGCTTGGGCTGCCTTGGAGCTATCTCGGAGGCCCTTTAGAAGCCTATTGGGCCGTCTTTGGTGGTCGGAAACCCGAACAGGCGAGAACCTCACCATCCCTCAACAACCAGAGGGACGTCAATGAGTTTGGCCTCTCGGGCTCTCCAGGAAGGTCGTTTGGAGCTCTCGCAGGCCGTCTCGGGGGCCTCCTGGGCCGTCTTGAGGCCCTCTTGGGCTATCTTGGGCTGCCTTGAGGCTCTCTCGGGAGGCGCTTGAGCTGTCTTGTACCATGTTTGGTTTCGCATTGGCTGTCCTTGAAGCCGTCTTGGAGGCCATCTTGGCCGTCTGGCGGCAGAAAAGACCGCCGCCAGCAGTTTGAGACAGGGCGTTTTAAAGGGGCGCGTGCGCCGAGGGGGATGTATATCAAAAGTCGACAGGCCTCCCGGACAGCAGACGAGCAGTCTAACACGCCCCACTTCGTGCAGGCACGGTGGCGGATACACGTATGCATTTGTTCAGTCTTCCTCTGGCTACTGTGCACCTGGTCTCTCTCCGTCGCTGTCCTTGTCTCTGTCTGTCCGTGTTTGTTTTGTTTTGTTGTTTGTTTATTATCATTATTATTATTATTATTATTATTATTATTATTATTATTATTATTATTATTATTATTATATATATCTATGTATATATGTGTATGTGCGTGTCTGTCTGTTGGAACACCTCGGGCACGCTGGACACATCTATGTTGTGTCCGCCTGTCTGCCACTTTATGGGTTAATTGTTCAAGCTGCATTTATCTCTCTCACTCTCTCGGTCGTCATCCTGTTGCCATGCTCACTTGGCACAGCGAAGGCACCCTGCAAAGCACAACTTCTTCCCGCTTCGGACCGCAAATCCAGACGGCGATCGATCTGCCCATCGTATTCCATGTTCCTCGTGCCGTTCCATCCTTCCTCTTTTTCCTCCTCTCTCTCTCTCTTTCTCTTTCTCTCGTTGGCTCTCTCTCTCTCTCTGTGTTCTCTCTCTCTCTCTCTCTCTTTCTCTCTTCGCTCTCTGTCTCTCTCTCTCTCTCTCTTCCTCTCTTGCTGGTTTCTCTCTCTCTCTCTCTCTTTTTCTCTTCCCTCTAGTCCGTTCCTTCAGGGCCTTCTTCCTATGCTTGTCTCTTGTACGTCTCTGCCTCTCCCTGCTCCATATTCCTTCCCCCCCTCTCTCACCCTCCGCCTTCTCCTGCTCCTCCTGTTCCGAGGGGGGGTCGATTTTGCTACGCCCCTCCCCTCCTGGCGCACTTGCTGCTCCTTTGGCTTCCTCCCGCCTCCTCCCTTCCTCCCTCTCTCCCGGTCTCCTCGCTTCCTCTTCGCTCCCGCACCGCACCGCTTCCACTTTGCTTTCTCTTCGTTTGTTCCTCGCTTCCCCTCCCTCGCCTTTCCTGGGCGCTGCCAGCTGCGCGTCTGCCGCCGATCCGTGAGCTCCTTGCGTGGCCACGCAGGTCCATACTGGACCCCGCCGCCTCGGATGGGTGCTGGTCTGCCCCAGCACTGACACCGCCAAGTTGACACCTGCGGTTGCTTTGATGACCCGTCAGAAGTCGGCCAATGGTGCGAAGAATCAGAAATCGTCGTACACCACCTGCAATTCCTGCGGCAGCTGGGCTTGGGATTGGCGTCTTCGGTTGCAGTATGGTAAGTGCAAAGTCTGCGGCTCCCATGTCCCAGGCTTCGAGAATGCGCCTTGGATCCGCTCGGAGCACTCCCGCGCCCCGTGGGCGAACTCCGAGAAGTCTGAGTGGTCGACCCCTGCATGGTCCCCAGCTTCCAAGGATTGGCCCCCTCTCCCGTCCAAGGCTGAACCCGCTCAGCTCCTGCAGCAGTACCTCAAGATGGCTGGTCCTTCCTCGGACTCTACGGCGCTGGAGCTCGCGCACCAGTTCGAAGAGGCGGCCGAGCGGGTCAAGCCTGAGCCCAAGGCGAAGTGCCCGTACGCTGTCTTGCGTGAAGCTACCTCGCTCTGCGCTCAGAAGCAGGCCAAGCTCGCCAAGGCGTCCAAGCAGCTCCTATCGGCGGAGGCCTGGCTGGAGGAGTGTAAGGGGCGCCAGCTCGTGGCAGCGGAGGAGCTCTTCGAGGCGGACCAGGCCCGCTTGGTGGCTCAGGAGGCCACGCAGGGCGGAGGTGGTGCAGGCGTCAGAGCTGAAGCTGCGGCCACTCCCGAGGTTGGCGAGGCTACCCCGATCTTCGGTGTGGACCCCAAGCTCTTCCAGGACCTGGACGACTACGAGGAGGAGGACAAGCAAAAGTTGCTGCAGTTCCAGAAGGAGCTCGATGACATCGCCACCCAGGCCAAGGCCCGCGAGCAGCAGTTCAAGGAACTGCATGCCTCGGCCAAGCAGGCGCTGCGGGCTCCCCGCAAGCGGCGCCGCGCCGAGGGCGGCCAGGCCAGGGCGGACGAGGCAGAGGGCGCGGCCTCGGATGCAGCTCCTGCCTCGTCTGCGCCCGAGGGCAGCGGTAGCGCCACAGGCTCCCCTGCCCAGCCCTCGGCGGAGGAGCGCGCCAAGCTGGTCGCCTCCATCGCTGCATCCTCGCGCGAGGCCCAGCTGGCCGCTGGCTGTGGCGAGGTCGCCTCTGAAGGTCCCGCTCCTGGCCGCGACGCTCCTGCTGAGCCTGCTGCCGCCCGCGAGCGCGGGTAGCGCGGGCGCCCCTGTTGGAGATGCCACGGTGTTCTATTCTAATATCACAGAGTGGGGCCCTCAGGCCCGACGGTTCCTCACGGAGAAGTTTTACGACCATTCAGTTGTGGCCCTGGTGGAGACCCATCAAGGGGTGAACGCCTTGCCGCGGCTGGAGACCGACCTCGACAAGGACGGATGGCAGTTGAGCTCTACTCCCGCGCGTCCCTCTGGGCGCCCGGAGTCGGGCCTCAGCGGAGGTGAATGGATCCCCACAAGGAAGTTTGTTGCCAGCTCTTCCTTTCAGCGTATGCGTGCGGCCGCCCGTGCTGAAGGCCGCCAGGACCCCTGTAAAGGGTTCGTTCCGCTCGCCCTGCACTTGAGGACGGGGAATGTGGTGGTGATCGCCGCCTAGTTGCAGCCTGGCCTGGAGTTCCGCGGCGTCAATGACAGCATCATGGTCGCGCTGGCGTCCTTTACTCGGGCTCTTGCGGACCCGTGGCTGGTTGTTGCGGATTGGAAGTGTGAACCGCCCAGTCTCGTTGCCAGCGGCTGGGTTCAGCAGTTGCAGGCGCGGGTGGAGGTCTCGTTGAATGGTAAAGTGACTTGAGATAAGGGCCCATGCCGCCTGTATGACTATGTGGTTGCCAGCCGCACGTGCCCCGATTTGACGTTGCATGCTGTGCAGAGTGTCCCTTGGAAGGCGCATTGCGGGATACTGATCGCCATCGAGGGCGCGCGTGAGGAGCGCTGGGTCTCGAAGTTAGTCGCCCCCAAGGCTCTGCCTACCGCAATGCGGCCGCGGGCGGCCAGCCCCAACCTGACAGCGAGAGGCAGCGTCGACGAGCTGCTGCACTCCAGAGGCGCAGAGAGGCTCTCCCTGAGGACTTGCACGAGGGCTTTGTTGCTAGTCAGGAGGAGCTCGCGACCTCGGAGCATCAGGAAGGAGAGGAGGTGCGCGCCCCCTTCTTGGTGACTGAGGATACTTGGCCGGCAGCACTGGCGGCGCTGCCCCCAGGCCCTTGGGCCTCCCAGGCCCGCGGTGCGTCCCTCCATGGAGGCGTGGACCCGTGGCACGGCGAGTCCCTCTACGGAGGCGTGGACCCGTGGCTGTTCGGTGCGCCCCTTCCCTCGCGGAGGTGTGGGCCCGAGCTGTAGCGGCTGGGAGGCCCCTGCCTCGGGGCGGGCGGCGGCTGCCACGGCTATTGCCCATCTGGCCAGAGACGTGCATCCCTCTGGGATGGGCACATGTGCTACTCAGATGGCGAGTTCTTCCTCGCTGAGGTCTGGGCGTCGTCACGTTTTCGCGGATGGGAAGTTGGCCCAGGAGGCACGCACTGCCCGCCCCTTCGCCGCGAGGCAAACGGGGGCTGAGGGCACCGACCTCCTGGGACCTCTCAGTCAGAACGCCGTACGAGTGCCGACCACCATGGACTTGGGGGACCTTGATATTTCCCAGGTGGAGGAGTGCGTGCATGACCCGTGTTGTGCCGTGCAGGATCCGCCGCAGGCTCCTGCCCCTCACTGCGCTCCGTCTCCCTCGGGACCTGTCTGCCTACGCGACCAAGCTGTCTTCCATCAGGATGTGCCACCCGTTCCAGCACACAAGCAAGGCATTAGTTTGGGGAAGGCGGTGGGGCCAAGTCGTGCGGCCCTGGAGCTGGAGCGTTGTGGTTCAACTGTGATTGGCCCTACGGTCGTCCCCAGCATCGAGGACCAAGCCAGGATTCGTGCACGTGCTCAGGCCTGGCGTGCTCAAGCTTGGCGATGCCGTCCTCGGGGTGCGTTGCCTGCAGTGCGCCCTCCTGATTGCCGCATTCTGCAGTGGCGTGCGGAAGAGCGAGAGCGCATATCTGATGAGTATGTTTGTTGGGTCTCTACTTTGGAACAGGCCATCCTCGACACTGAGGGCCTCGGCGGCGCAGATCGGCGAGCATGTGTTGGTCGCGCCGCAGGGCCCGTGGTGAAGTGGTCGAGGTTGCGGGCTACTCCACGGCGTACCCACATGAGGAACAGGTGTGCCGAGTGGTGGGGCATCACCACCACTCTCTTGGTCCGTGTCCGCGCCCTCACCCGTAACGGGGTCGACCAGTGCCAGGCTCGGGACTGCCTGTCCCAACTGCGACGGCATCTGCAGAGTCTGGATCTGCGGGAGAAGGACTCGCACTTCGGCAAGAAGACGACGATCGAGCTCGCCGAGGCGTGGGTCTCGGACGCGGGCATCCTGGACGTGCTAGAGGATGATGCGCTGGACTAGGTCGTGCAGTTGGCCCAGCGCTGGTCGGACTGGGCTTCTTCACGGGCAATGGCAGCATCCAGGGCCAGTTTCATGGCGTGGGTGCGCGAGCAGTGGCGACTCAAACCAGGCTTAGTGCATCGCCATGTTAAGCCAGACCCTCTACCTGAATGGGAAGGTGCTGGCCCCGATGGTTGCCCCACCAGTCACCCTCAGCTTCCCTTAGAAGGCAAGCGCCAGCACTGGTCTGAGATCTGGCGCGAGAAGGTGGATACGCAAGAGGACTTCCACTACTGGCTGAACCAGTTGCACTCGGACGCCTTGGAGGAAGCGCTGCCGCCCTTTGAGCTCGACCAGCTCACCTCCACCCTACGGGCCATGCCATCGAGCAAGGCTCAAGGAGTTGACGCGCTGGGGCCAAATGACGTGCTGCGACTGCCAGATATTGGCCGCCGTGCGCTGGTGAACCTCTTGATTGATATTGAACTTTTAGGAGTGTGGCCTGTGGAGATTACGACGGTTCTCGGGGCCTCCGTTCCAAAGGGGGCCGGCGGCCACAGGGTGCTCGGTCTGATGCCTCACACGGCCAAGTTGTGGAGCAGGAGGCGTTCAGCGCCGTCTTACACTTGGACGGAGAAGCAAGGAGCCTTCTGGGACACGGCGATCGCGGGGCCTTCAGCTCTGCGAGCGGCGTTGGCTAGGGTCATCCTGGATGAATGTGCTCGCGAGTTGGGCGTGTCATGCGCCACTCTCTTTCTCGATTTGCAGAAGTTCTATGATTCGATCAGTTTTGTGCTGCTGATGAAGGCCAGTCGCTCTCTGCACTACCCCGCCATCATCACTGTCCTGGAGGTGGGTATGTACGCGGCACCTCGCCTTATCAAGCGGGGCGTCTTGGTCAGCTCTGCCCTGGAGCCTGGCAAGTCGATTGTTGCTGGATCTCCGCGTGGAGTGGACATGGCCAAGGTGATGCTGCACGGCCTCCTCCAGGAGGCCCATGTTGCGTGCCCACGTGCGGGACTTTGGACATTCATTGACGACGCTGTATGCAGGACGGAGGGTGCGCGTGCTACGGTTATTGGAGACATGTTGGCGGCCGCTCAGTCATTGGCCCATGCGTTCAAGGACCACCGCTTAACGATCTCTGACAAGACGAAGCTTGTCGCCAGTGATGATGCTCTGGGGTTGTCTCTCGTCACTTCCTTGAAGAACATGGGCATTCCTGTTACTCACGCCTCTTCGGCGGTCGACCTGGGAGTTGACGCAGCTGGTGCACGGCGGCGCGCCCGACCCAAGTTTCGTGCTCGACTGGTCAGGGCAACTGCGCGTCAGGGCAGGATCCAGAAGCTTCGGCGACTTGCTGGCAGCCACAAGGTGGCGCGTGGCTTGTGGAGGGCTGGTGTGCTTCCCTCTGCTACATACGGGCATCAAGCTCACGGAGTGCCGCCCTCCATGATGACCAAGCTGCGCAGGCAAGCGTCGATCTCGATTGCTGGCCACAAGAGGGGACGATGCTTACATACGGTTTTGCAGGCTACGCTTGGCGCAAGCGACCCCTCTGTGCAGCTTCGACGAGATGTGCTTACTGAGTGGTTTCGTATGTGAATTGCGCACCCGTATTTGCATGGCCGCATTGCTCGAGTTTGGCCGCGTGTTCGTGCTGGACTGGGTGATCGTGTCCGCTGGCGCGGTGTCCGCGGGCCCATCGCTGCCCTTCAAGCTACATTGTTGCAGGCGGGTTGGGTGCCCCTGGAGGCCACCTGTTGGCGACGCCCAGGTGCTGAGGGACCAGAGGACTACACGTTCCTCTCCTTCGGCGAGGATGGCTACAACGACGCCGTGCTGGAGGATTTCAGTGAGCTCCTGGCGGACTTTGAACACGATTGCAGTGCTGCTGCCTGGCGGCTGGCCGCCAAGCATCCAGAAGGCGAACGGCTCGCGGATGGAGCGGATCTGCATGGCATTCAGCGGGAGTTGGAGGCCTTCGCCAAGAGGGGTGACATGGACCTGTGGGGCGCGACGGTCTCGGTCACAGCAGGTGGTCAGTGGACGCAGCAGAGGCAGCACGATGCAGGGTGCCAAGTCGATCGTCGGTGCCCACGTTGCAGAGCTGGCCTTGAGACGTTGCGCCACCGTGTCTGGGAGTGTCCGGAACATTGCTCCCACCCTGGTTACACGTCTACGGACGCGCTGATCCCGCAGGCGTTGGCGAATGCTGACCTCGACCCTTCCCTGTGGTTGAGGGGCGTGCCTGCAGCCAGTCTGACAGTTCCTCGGTTTCAGGCGGGACTTGGTTTTTCTGACCCTATTTTCCTCGGCCAGTGCTTGCTGAAGGAGCTCTCGGCCCCTGCGGGACACCCCCCCTCCACCTGTTTGGGGGCGGTTCAGGGGGAGAGCACAGCTCAGACGATCGTCGGAGACGCTGCGGAGCAGCGGTGGTAGTCATGCGTCGGACTTCGGACGGGGATCCTTCTGAGGCTATGTGGCTTCCCGTCTGCGGTGTGGCTGCCTGTCTCTCTGGGCGACGTCAGACTGTGCCCCGATCAGAGCTCCTGGCGCTGGCCTTGGGCCTCGAGAATTCTTCTGGTGATATCTATCGTTTACGTTTGCGATTGCAAGCCTGTGGTCGAAGGCTGGAGGTCTGGCCGCGCTGCTCGGCCTTATGGCCGAAATGCTGATCTCTGGGTTAGAATCCTGCAGGCGGCCAAAAATCGTGGACCAGGGTCCGTTGAGGTTGTCTGGACTGCTTCCCACCTGGAAGCTGAGCCCGAGCGTATCACCTCCCCGTTTCAAGCCTTCCTCTCTCACGGCAATGCTTGTGCTGATGCCTGGGCGGGGTGGGCGGCGAGGAGGGGGTGGGAAACGTCGGTCAGACACCCGATCCCCTTCGCGGATCGCTGGGATGTCGCTGCCTTGCTAGTGCGGAGAAGAGCTCGGCGCGCTCTGATCGATAGTGTTGCTGTTGCTCCCGAAGTCGGCCCCAGGGTACCCAGGCCCAGGACCCAGTCCTCGTCCAAACTGGCGCGGGCCCTGGACTCTTCGTCGCACCGCCTCTGCCTCTCGCGGTGCAGCAATCGTTGGATGTGCTCTGGATGCTCTCAGATCGTGCCTCGGACTAAGCTCCTGGAATTCGCGGCCACGGCTTGCCCAACGGCTTGCCCGACGGCTGCTGGGCCTGACCTTCCTTCCTCCTCCGCTGGCCTCTGTGACCGTTTCCTTGGCGACGGTTTCCTGGCGGTGTGCGGGGCGACCAAGGTTGGAGGCGTGGCCTTGCATCCTTCCCATGCTCTCAGGGAGTGGTCTCGTTTTGGCCTAAAGTTTTGTGCTGTTTGCGGGTTCACGGCTGCGGTTGACGGACGCAACCTGGCAAACCCCTGTGCCCCCCCCTCCCGCAAAGGGAGGGGGAATTTGAGCCGCCTCGCGAAAGGCTTGTATCCATCGTACCGAGGGCCCCCCTCGTCGCTGGTGGTCGCTGAGATCCAGGCCCAGGCTTCGCGCGCCCAGTCCCTTCCTCGGCATCCTTCGCCCGAGGCTGCGCCTGTCCGCCTGAGTGAATATCTTAGGTTTGTGTCCGTCCCAGACGAGGATGGAGAATTTGAGGCGCAACCTGAGTACGAGTGTGCCCCGCTCACTCCGCCTGTGGGCGGGGCTCCACCGTCGTGCGCCCCCTCGGCCCCATCCGTGGGCTGCGGAGGGAAGGGCGGTGGGCTGGGGACTTGCAAGGGTGAGGGGTCGGGGGCGTCGCCGTCGGTCGCGGCGGCGAGTGCGGTCGGCGGGGAGCGAGCGAGGGTGAGAGCCCCCCCGCGCCGCCGCCCTGCCGCCGCACCGCGACGGCGGCCTGCGGCATCCTCAACGTCAGGTGCGCCGCCCCCGCCCCCGCTCTCCCCCCACCGTCTGCGTAGCCCCGCACGTGCGTGCACTCTTCATCTGCATCCGCATCCTCCTCCTCCTCCTCCTCCTCCTCCTCCTCCTCCTCCTCCTCCTCCTCCTCCTCCTCCTCCTCCTCCTCACCTGCTCCCAGGTCCGCATCGACACGAAGGCGCCGCACCTCGCTGCCCCGCGCGCGGGAGGGTGGGGGGCGCGGCGGGGCTTGCGCGACCGCGGCGGGTGCGCGCGCGAGAGGCGTCGCCGCTGTCTCCGCCGACGCCCGCCGCGGCGTCCGCGGCGAGGGTCCCGGCCGGTTAGATGCTCGTTTAGGGCACCTTCTTGGGGTCCACCTGACGGATCTGTTGGACTCTAGTTCGACCTGAGTTCGCCTCAAGTTCGACTCAAGGCCAATTCAGGTGCGACTCAGGTTCGCCTCAAGGTCGGCTCACATCGACGGACGTTCGACGCAGCTTCGACGCACGAGTGGAGCGAGTGTCTCCAGGAAGGTCCCCAGAATGAGTATCCAAGGCCGACGTGCACTGTTCCCACGTGGGCCTCCCTGAAATTTCGGGGGCCCTTCTTGAGCTTCCGGGGGGCTTCTCGTCGCCGCGGCCGAGCCCGCCTCGAGGTTTCTGGCCAGATGGCCAGATGGCACCCCGGGACATACAGTCAAGGCGCTGATGTGCGGACCGCTTTGGGCTCGGGAGGGGCTCGCTGTTCCTCAGGTCCATCCCTGTCCCTTCCTCTGGGCCTCCTCGAGCACCCAGGCGCTTCCGGTGCCAAAACGTGGGCTTCGTTCCTTACTCAGCGTTCCTTGTTGCAGCAGCTTGACTGTCGGTCTGGGGGGCTCAGGGCCCGTGGGGCTCCACGCGCCCACGGCGGAGGCCGCCCCGAGGCTCCGGTCGACGTGCGCCTCCCGGGCAGGTCCTGCGGGGGCGCTGCTCGTCGCCTGGACGGGTCCTGGGTTCTGTTCTCGGGCCGCCGAGTCCGGAGGGGCCCAGGCGTAGCCCCGAGACGGCCCAGGGGGATTTTCAAGACGGCCTTCGAGGGCCGAGGAACACGTGGCGGCATGAGCATGCACTCTCGGAGGTCCGCGCGGGCCTCCTGGGTCGGCGGTGGCCCCCCCCCTGGCGGCGCGGCCCCTGGCGCACTCCGCGCGCCGGGGGAACGGCTTCCATTGCGACCCAAGAGATCCGCGCGGACCTTACGCAGTTTGTTGTCTTGTTCTTCTCCTCCTTCTGCTCCTGCTCCTCCTCCTCGTCTTCCTGTTGTCTCTTCGTCTTCTTCTTCTTCTTCTCCCGCTCGTCTTGCTTTTCTAAGAGACGAGGCGTCATGCTCGGCGCGTCTCGCCCTCGGCGGACGGCCAGCGGAAGCGGGCAGACGTAAAAACCGGCGGCGGGTCCGCCGGCGGAAGGTCGGCGGACGGCAGGCGCGAGACCTGCGGTGGAGGCCCATGCCACGAAACGCTCTGCTTGCCTCCAGGGTGCCCCTGGGTTTCTTGGGCTACGATGGTTTGGCTGTGGAAGGCGCGACGTGCCCACACCAAGCATCCATGGACGTCCTGGGGTCTCAGGGTTGGGTCTCTTGTGGAGGGTTTCTTGCAGACTGGCCTCCACTGTAAGCACTTCTTCTGAGAACACCCCAGGCCCCCAGGGCCTCGAGTTGAGGAGCGGGGGCCGAGGGCACAGGCGGGTGCGGTGAGCAGGCCGGCCTCAGGATCGAGGGCCGGGGACTGAAGCCGAGGGGCGAGGGCCAGGATCGAGGACCTGTCGGCGACTACAGGGGCTCTGGTTGCGCCGGGGTGTGGTTTGCGATCTGCGCCCTGGGGGCTCAGGGGCCACCGCGTTGTGCCAACGGTTTGCTGAGCCCTTGTCGGGGCGCGGCAGAGACCTCTGTCGAGGTCCTCGCCCGCCCTCCCAGGCGCGGGTTGCGAACCGCACCCTCTGCAGATCACACCCTCCGGAGTCGCCGAACTGGGGTCTCGAGTGCGGGAGTGAGGCCACGGGATGAGGAGCGAGGGCCGAGGACGAAAGTCGAGGGGCAAGGGCCAGGGATGTAGGGCACGAGGGCCGAGTACAGTCGGGCCTGGCGAGCAGGCAGACCCCGCAGGGGTCGAGGGTGCCTCTGTGTCCCGTTCGTCGGTTCCACGGGGAGGGGCCGAAGGGTCGCGAGGCATGCGTCGTGAGCCGGGAGACGGCATCTGGGGTCTGGGTGAAGGGAGCGGGGTGGTGGAGAGGGGGAGGGGCGAAGGAGGCGGGGATGTGGATGGGGGTATAGGGAGAGAGGGGCGGATGAGGGGTGCAGGGCTCGGTGGACGGGGGGGAAAGGTGGAGAGGAGATCCCGGGGAAGTGGAGGTGGAGGAGGAGTGAGGAGGATGAGAAGAAGGAGGACTTATCCAAGATGCATCAGCGATGCTGCAATACACCCTCCCGCCCCAAGTCCTGCAATAAGCATCCTCCTGAAATGCTGTCGCAGTTTGGCCTGCCATTTTGGACAGGGCCTTTTTTTTGGATGCGTAAAATGCCTTGCATCCTTCTGGCGCGTGACCAGGAATGCGACAAGTAATCCAATAGCCCTTATAACGGCGACGATGGAACACAGTGCCGGGGAACTGCTTTGAACATCACCAGTCGTTCAAAGCAGTGCCCCGGCACTGCTTTGAACGATGCGGAAATGCGATCAGCAGGAGCCTTCGTCTGTTCCTTCTCCTCTTCTCGTCGCTGTATGCTCTTCCTTGTCCTCCCTCCTCCCCCGTTCCCTCTCTAATTAATTACCTCGTTCTCCCAGTCTCACGCGCACTCTTCCTCCCCCCTCTCCTCCTCCTCTTCCTGCTTCTCCTCCTCGTCCTCCTCCTCCTCCGCCTCCTCCCCCTCATTTGTTATATTTCTCCGTCCTTGTCCTCCTGTCCCCGTTCTCCTTCTCCCTCTCCTCCTCCTCCTCCTCCTCGTCGTCGTCGTCCTCCTCCTCTTCCTCCTCCTCCTCCTCCTCCTCCTCCTCTTCCTCCTCCTCCTCCTCCTCCTCCTCCTCCTCCTCCTCCTCACCTTCTTCCTCCTCCTCCTCCTCCCCCTTTTCCTCTCCCTCCTCCTCCTCCTCCTCCTCCTCCCCCTTCCCCCTCTTCCTCCTCTGCTATCACTCCTCCATAATTCCTGTCCGCTCCTCCCCTTCACTGATCTTCCTCTTCGTCATCATCATCCCTTTCGTCGCACGCCTCTTAATCCTCAATCGGTTCCCAATCTTCTCGACTTTCTTGTCATCCGCGTCCTTGGCTGTTGGAGGGGCCTCAGGAATTCTCAGGGCTCTTGTGTTGCACGCGAAGGCACACCTCCCAGGAACGCATCATCCTCCTCACATTCACCCTCCTCCTCCTCATCCTCCTCCTCCATGCACGTTCGGCTCAAGCCCGCGCCGACGGTAGGTTTCACGGCGGTTGGGCGGGCTCGCGCCCGCCTCCGCGGCCTGCAGTCGGGGCAGAGATGCGTGCAGGGTGGGATGACAAAGCGGAAGAGGAAACACGGGCCGCAGTTGCGGATTCTTCAAAGAGCAGCGGCGGCGGTTGGGGAACAAGTGGGGGTTGGGGCGGCCGCAGTGGCGGATACGGCGGCGGAGGTGACCGCAGTGGCGGCTGGGGCGGCGGAGATTCTCTTGGCGGATGGAGAGGAAAAGCGCAGGATGGCGGCGACGGAAGTGACCGCAGTCGCGGATGGGAGGGCGGCGGATGGGGCGGCAACGGATGCGAGGGTTGGGGAATGGAGGGCGCCCGCTGGTGGGACGACGAGGGTGGCTGGTGGAATGCATGGGAAGGTGGCCGCTCGAGTGCCTCGGCAGGTTCTCCTGCCGCGGAGCCCGCGGCCGCAACAGCGGCGGGCAAAGGAGGCGGTCCCCTGCTTCCCCCAGGGCGCGAAGAACAAGGCGCAGTTGCGCTGTTTCAAATTGTGCGCAATGAGCCGCTGCCAATTTTCAAGTTGGAATTCTTCGAGAACTTCAGGGCGAACTGGAACGGCAATTATAAGCAGCACAACGCGGCCTTGAAGTGGTTCCGAGACGAGTACGAAGACCGAGAAAACCCTTTCGGCAGCCGCACGCCCGTCTTCGGAGGTACCGCAGTTGCGGAGGAAATTTCGAAGATCCTTAAGTACCGCGCAAAGGGGAAGGCGCAGGACAACAGGGATTGGGACTGGGACCACACTGTCAAAGTGCCGTGGTCTTGGCTGGAGATGGTCGCGCAGATGGATGGACCTACAATGCTGCGCGTCGTGTGCGGCCCTGACAATGACCGCAGTCGCGGGTTGGTCCGCTGCGAGTGCCGCCCGTGCCCTAGCAGTCTCGACAACATGAGGCACACGAAAGGGGTGGACAGAGGACAGGCGCAAAGAATCCCTCTGCCCCAGTGGGATTTCGTCCTCATCCGCGACGACGGCTCGGGCATTCGCGTCCACCCATCCTGGTCTAGCCCGAAGTTCAACACGTATGAGGTGGAGCCGCACTCGCATCCCGTGCGGGGCCCGAGGGCAGGTCTCGGCAAGAGCGATGGCCACGGAACGTTCACGTTCTGGAAGATGCTGCACGCCCATCCGAATCCTGGGCGGTTCGACGCGAGCAAGGGGGCGCAGCTGCAACCGCGGTGGTCCGCGCAGCCTTGACACCGCAGTTGCGGGATTGCGCAGCCATGGAACCGCAGTTGCGGGGACCGATCGCGTGACGCCGCGCTCGTTTGACTCACTATGCGCGCTTTCGGCCGCAGTTGCGGCGCTGCCTTCTAGCGACTTCATACAGCTTGGCCGCAGTTGCGGCGCTCCCACGACTGACCGCTGTAATTAGGTGCTTCGGGCGCGCATCACCTCCGTTGAAGCACTCGTGACGTTAATTAGCGCGGCCGCAGTTGCGGAGACAGGTACTTAAACAGATGGATCCGCAGTTGTTCGTCGTCCTCGTCGCCCCTTCCCCGTCGTCCTCGTCGCAGTCTCCTCCCTCCGCCTTTCCTCCTCGTCGCAGTTCCTTCCGTTCCGTTGGCCGTAGCCCGCCTCCGTTGGCCGAGTCATTTCCCGTCGTCCTCGTCGCAGTCCCCCCCGAGGGCCGCAGTTGCGGACTTTGTTGATTCCTCCTCCTCCGTTTCTGCCCCGTCATCCTCGTCGCAGTCCCTTGCTCCTTTCACCCTCGTCTGAGCTCTTCGCGCCATCCTCTTCCGTCTCGTCCTCTCCATCCTC